TAGGATGCTATATAATTTGAATGCAACTATCATTTTGTCACCCCGTGGAAGCAGAAATGTTTCAATACCAAAGGTTGGGGGTTGCAGACTGCATCTTTACATCAAAAAAACATAAACAGAGCTTGACAGATTAATTTAAAATTTTTTGAGACAGGGTCTCACACCACAGCACATGTTGGCCTGCAACTCACTTTATAAGTCATAGCAATCCTCCTGCTGAAGCCCACCTCCCACGCCAAGTGCTGGGATTACTGGTCACTAAGTCACTATGGGCAGACAGGTATTATGCTTAAAACAGATTTAACGCGCTCAAATAAACACGAAAAGGCCAGGAGCTGGAAAGAAGGCTCAGTGATAAGAGCACTAACTACTCTTCCAGGACCCAGGTTCAATTCCTAGTGCCAGACAGTGGCTCACAACTATCTATAATTCCAGTTCGGAGGGATGGAAAGCCCTCTTCTGCCCCCCAGGGCACCAGGCACACAACTGGTGAATAGACATACATGCCGGTAAACTCCCACACACATAAAATTAAAAAAATAAGGCAAAATAAAAGGAAACAGATGACTTCCCTAGGATACACAGATTCCAAGTAAGTATTTTTACAGGTCACTGAAGAACACAGAGAAGAAATGTTGACTGGAAAAACAGTAAATTAGAAGTAGCTCTGAAACCTACAGAGCAACCACAATTTCTGCTTTTTCCTCAAGAAAAAAAAAGTTTTGTTTGTATCCCTCAGTCAAATAAAGGTTGGATATTAACCAACATAACTAATTCAATATAAAGTCAAATCTAGGTTGAATATTAGTCTCCAGAAGTTGAGGGAATCATACGATTACAGAGGAGGACCACTGAAATCACCCAGTTCGTTTAAAATGAAGGCAATGAAATTAATTGGAGGTGAGTGTTCTGTTAACTGTTAGCAACCTCCTAGGTTTCAGGTTCTGGAGAGCCAGGATCTTTACTGCCCCAGACCTCTTGTTCGGTCTCCCTTGTGATTTCCTAATTGGAGCATATTAGGTCTTAGAGGCTGACCTCCCCAGATTAAGCTTACCTTGTGAATGCTACAGGGTGCCAGCCAGTTAGCAGACCCTATTATGTATGTAGTTCAATGGCCTTCATCTCGAAAGTGATTCCAGGATATAAAGGGTATAAAATAGGCAAAATAATTGCCCAAGAGCTCTAATTTCATGACACATACCATCTTTTACGCAACAAAAGCAGCCTGGCAGATTATTCATTTCTTCTGAATGGTTTATTCAAAGTTAAAAATAAGTTGGAAAGGGAACATTTTATTGTAGCAATCTTTAATTATCATAGCCATTTTCAGAGGCAAGGGCCAGGGAGCCAGACAAGAACACTGCTATCTTGTCACTTGTCACCCATCAGAAGCGCTCAGTACTCTTCAGCTTTGGTTAGTAATGATGTCAATGGTGTCATGATGAAGTTAATGAGTAATGGTGCTAACGACGTGATTTCTCCGTTAAAAACTCTTTAGCACTTATTATTAGTATTATAATAATAATACAAATATTACTAATATTTTTAAAATTTATTATTAACACCAAGCTCACAGTCACTCTTGTGAAGTAGGACAGTTATCATTATCCACACTTAACAATGGGAAAATCAGGGCATACAGAAGTTGATAGCTATTGGATACAATCCCCAAAAATAAAATTCAGGTCTTCTGACTACCAATCATACTTTTGTATCTTCTTGAAGAGTACTGTCTTATTACATTAAAGGCTGACCTTACTTTACTATCTAATGTATGAGATGATTTTGTCTTTTGATTGAAAGTATCATTTATTTTTTAGATCATTCACACAGTTCCTTGAATATAGTAAGTGTTCAATATTTTTTTTAAGAGTTAGGGGCATGGGGATTGCTGTAATAGGTTGGTTATCTTAGGCAGGACAGTGAGGTATTACATATAATTAGTTGAGTTGTTTCTCATTTAAAGGCTCCTAGTCTAACTAACAGATATTGGTCAGGAGGCCAATTTATATTCTGATCACTGAGTTGATAGCTCAAAACGTAGACGGATCTCAAGTTTCCTTATTAGAAACGTAAAGATGAAGTACTTGAAAATGTAAGGTGCAGTTGACACACACACCTGATGCCTTAGTACACCTATAGACTGAAAATCAGTTAAATCCAGATGGAATACTTTTCTAAGAGAATATTACATTAACTTTCTTGCTGGGTGGTGCTGGTGCCTGCCTTTAATCCCATCATTCAGGAGGCAGAGGCAGGTGGATCTCTGTGAGTCTGAGGCCAGCCTGGTCTACAGAGCGAGTTCCAGGACAGGCTCCAAAGCTACAGAGAAACCCTGTCTCGAAAACAAACAAACAAACAAAAAAGGAATTACATTACCTTTCTTGAATGGCTAATTTAATACATCAACTTGACTGAGTTAATGGAGGACTAGATAAATAATAAAACTATTTATGGATATGCCCATAAGGATATTTATTGAAGAGATTAGCTTTTGAATTGGTAGACTGTATAAGGGAAATTGCTTTCTTCACTGTGGGGGCATCATGACTGGGCTGGAAAAACCTAAAAGGTAGAGGAAGGAAATCGGCTTAAGCTAGGGCATCCATCTCATCAGTTCCGTGATCACGGTGCAGCTGGCTTGTTAACCAAGAACCAGCAATAGTGATTTCACTCCCATTCAAGGCAAAAGGCACAGCAAACCGTCAGCTTTCACAGGGTCTTGTTTCAGACCTCCCCAAATGTTCCCAGCTCCCTCCAGTCGTGTCTTAATCCCGCAGGCATCACTGACTCAGGAACTCAGAACCCGGCAGGCAGTTTATCCCATGACATCACCCTAAAGCAAACCTGACAGTTCCACTAAGCAATAAGGGCTTACCTCGGGCCATTTCTGTAGAACCAGAACAGAGATGACAGTCGACCAGACCACAGGTGTCCTTAATCATACACGTTTCTTCCCCATGCCCTAACTTCCCCTCTATTTAAAAGTGTGTACCACTACCCCACAGATGGGCTGAAATGCTTAGCTTCCATCATTCCCAAGTGGCCATTTTGGTTAAAACCCTTTCCTGACCTTTTCACTATTACTTCTGCCTGCTTTCCTTGGGACAAGAGGCTAACCAGATGGAAGGCCCAGCCACCACAATGGAAACTATGTTTTGTCATGTTCTAAAAGCATAGATTCAGCCTGACATACTTGCTTTGGTAGACAGTATTTGTTCTAGGGCTGTATCTTTAGGCTGCCTACTTTAGGTTGCAATATGTTTCCAACACCCACTTTTCAAGCTTCTGAGATGGTATTTTAATTTCTTCCCCTCAGTGTGTATGTCGGACCACCTGTACACTTCCTCTACACTTCGCCAAAGTGGAGAAAAGAGAAAAAAGAAAAGTGGTCCTCCCTCAAGGTTGTATTAATAGACAGGTCTAGATTTGGGGGCTATTTTAGCATTATTGAACAGGTTTGCCTTCTAATGGGTCCCGAAGAGTTGCAACACTACATCGAGAAGGAAAGATCTCATTTAAATTTTTTCTTTCCATCTTCTATCTATCATAGACTAGAACTACCATACTCAGACTCAGCTACCCACCTGGACAGCATCAGTTGAATTAGTCAATTCATTTAATTCAACCAGCTCTTTTTCAGAGACAGCTGAGGCCACAGCCAGGTACAGCGAAGCACTATTTGTGCTCTTACTACTGAAGACTCTAGAATGGTTTTCGAGGAAGTGGTGTACCTGTAGCTGATGGCTACTGAATGAATGTTAAGCCTTAGGGTGAAGGGCCTTATTTTTAAGAGGTGTGAACTGGGGTTAAAATATTTGGATTCCACCCCCCACCACTACTGCTATTTAGCTCTTGGTTATGTAATTTTTTCTGAAATTAAATTTCCTTGTTAGAGGGTGGTTACAATACCTACCTCACATGGCTGTGGTGGAGGCTCAAGTAAGTCTACCTTTAAAAGCAGTGTTTACAGCCACGTTTAAACCCCTCCGTTCAACACGAGTTATTTCGACCTCCCACTTCCAATTCCGTGGATTTTGAGAGGTTGGGATGGGCATTTTCCAGGTGTTCACACGGCTTGCTTTCGTTACGTTAGAGTCAAGAACCACATTTTGGAGGGATGCCACACTGAGAAGCCCTCCCGGAATGGAAGGTGTGGACGCAGCAGAATCCACATCTACGCAGAGATGCTCACCGGGCAAGAAGGGATGCTTACCAGCAGCAACCTTTCCTCTGAGGAGGCGGGGCCTTTAATGCTGGCCACTGGCTGCCCAGGTTTTCCCTCGGGCGCTGCCCAGGTCCGACCTGTTTAGCACTCAGCTGGATGCGCGGTGCGGGTGTCGTCCCAGCGCGGCCCGTCGGACCCAGGTCGGGGCGCGGGCTAGGCAGGACCACCCGGATGCCCGCAACTTTGGGCAGCGCGGGAGACAAAAGGCACTTTTTGTTTTAGGGTCCTTGTGGTGCATCGCCCTGCAGCTCCCAGCCCCCTAGCTTTGTTCCCAACTTCCTCCAGCGCTGCGTCCCTCCAAGTCCCCTCTCTTTGTCTGGCCGCCACCCCGAGCCCCTTTGTTGTCCACCGTCTCCGCCAGGGAGGGGTGGGGACGGCGCCCACCATTCCTGAGACAGGAAGCGAGCAGAGGCAGAGGCAAGCAGTCGCCTTCGCACGCCCCCACCGGCGAGCGCGACTCTCGGTCGCCCTCGGGCGACAGTCGCGGGTGAGCCTCAGCCCCTCGCCCGCGTTCTAGGCACGGAGGAGGGGTGCGGCGAGGCAGGCGTCCTCTGATTGGCTGCGAGAGTCAGGGCGCCGCGCCGCTATTGGGCCGCGGGGCTGTCTGGCGTGCGAGTGCGCGAGGTGGGGAGGGGGCGCTGGAAGCTACTGGAAATCGGGCGGCCGGGCGGCGTGAGCCCCCCCCCCCCCCCCGCGCGCGGGCGGGTGGGCGGGGCGCCAAACAGTGGGCGTGGCCACGAGGCTCCGCCTGCGGCCCCTCCCCGCGCGCGGCGGCTTCGACCGCGGGCGGCCGAGGGGCGGGCGCGCCGCTGCATCCCCATCGTCGGCGTAGCTGGGCTCAGGGCGAGCGGAGACTGGCCGGAGCGGGCGGGCGGGCGCAGCGCCGAGGCCCGGCCATGGCCACCACCAGCAGCACCACGGGCTCCACCCTGCTGCAGCCTCTCAGCAACGCCGTGCAGCTGCCCATCGATCAGGTACCGGCGTCCGGGGCGTCGTGCCCTGGCCGCCCCTGCCGGCTGTGGTGCCACCCGGGCGGGAGTAGGGTGGGGGCTGGGACCGGGGCTGCTGTGCCCGGCTCCCGGCGGGGCGGGGGCGCGCAGCTGGCCTTGTCCCTTCGCCTGTCGCTCTGACTGGTGCCTCAGTGCCCACCCAGCCCCCCCCATCGCCGCCCCGGGCGGGGGTGGGCGCGGGCGGAGGCTCGGCGACAGCCCGCCGGGGAGGGCTAGACAGACGTGCGCGTGTGCATGCTGTCGCTTCCCGGACACCGGGCGCCGGACCCCGGAGTCCCGGGGTCGGTGGACCCGGGGACGGTGGACCCGGGGACGGCTGCGGGGTATTTGCTCCGGGAGGCTGAGGATGATCTGAGTGCCGAGTGCCCAGGATACGGCGTGGATGGATGGGGCTTAAGAGGTCCTGCACTTGGGGACAGTTTGCATTGAAGTGTGACTGGAGAGACCGAGAGGCAACAGTTTGGGGGAAGGCAGGTTCTGAAGAAAAGTCAAAGTGAGTTCATGATGCCTAGGTTTCTGGTGAAAAAGTTGCAGCTGTGGCTAGGAGCAGCCATCCTGTCCCCTCACCCTACCCTCAGAGAAGCGTTTGACACTAGGGAAGGCTGGCATTTAAATGAGGCCAGTAGAATTTGATTGTTTAAAGGGCCCCAGGATTACTGAGAAATAAACAGTATTGGGATGGAGAAAGCAGCGCCATTTTTATTGAGCAAAGGAACTTTGGAGGTACGTCCTGAGAGAGGTCTGGGAAAGTTGTTGGTGGGGTCCGGTTAGGTAGTCGGTCTCGCCCCAGGGCTGAAGGTAATTGACTCTGGAGATCTTGCTTAACATTATTTCTGCTCTGGAGGCGTTCGCACTTCCCAAGGGATACTGGTTCGCGGTCCTCAGCTTGACTAGCTGCTTTTGATATCTTAAGGATTTCCTCTGCAATACAGAATCCCTCCCTCTCCGGACTTAAGCTGGAGGTGACATCCGAGCTCAACCCCTTGTGGTTCACTGTTTAACATACAACACACTGAATGATGTCGAAGAAGGGTTAAAGAATTCTGCCCAGAGTTTAGCTCTGTATTCTTTCCTTCATTTCACCCTCAACTTCCGATTAATAGTGAATACCCGTCCCCCACACACCTTGTACAGCAGGTGGGATGTGTATCAGGCTAGCAGGTTATTCGAGTGAGATGCTCCAAGGGAAATGCTTTCTTTATTTTACAGCATTAGGCTTTGTGTATTAAGTTGATCAGAACCAAAGGCTTTGCGTGTTCTCAGTCCTGTGAGGGGAGTCTCACTATTTTCTAAATGGAATTGTGGCACGTGACCTTGTGTGTTGCATCTTTGACTTAAATAGGTTGTTGCCAGCCTACCAGCAAGCAGAGGGCAGGATCTGTTGCGAAATTTTTCTTTCTAATGGAGAAGCGAGAGGGAGACTTTTACCTTTTCATCCTTTTGGGAGACAGATACTTGTGTATTCTCTCTGGCGTAGCCCTGCTGTGCTGATACTTTTAAATTTATGTAAAGGATTAAAACTTTTAAAAGCAATCTAGTATTACTTAGCTCCTTTAAACTTCTCAGCAATCCAGAGAAAGTTGTTTGTGGAACTTAAGTATGCAGGATCAAGGCAAGGTGACTTGAATTGAGAGTGTGACTTTGACTTGGCACCTTAGACAGTCTTTATCCTCTGGGGTACTCTTAAGCTTTAGAACCCCGAGTTTATATGGTCATTTGTATAATACAGTTGTTGGCTATGTGGTAAGCAAGTTGTAAGACTATTAAGTTAATACCACACAATCTGTACTTTTCGTAGCGATGGTTATTTCCGTGAAATACCAAAGAATTGACTCTTAAGACATTAGCCAAGTTCTTGGAGTCATTAAAACCTCACATGATAAAGTTAGACAGACATTTTAAAGTTAAGACAACTAGAAGAGTCTTAGAACGTGAATAGTTGAATCCAAGCTGAAAGAAATCCCAAGACTTGGCTGTAGTCAAATAATGTAATTCAGTAGGGGGAGGGAGGGAGCAAGCCAGGAAGTGAAGAAGTCTAACTCGCCAGTGTGTTCATTTGGTGTGTGCCAATTAACAGTGTTTAGAAAATTTAGGCAATTATAAGAGCAGTTGTTTTAGGGAGTAATAAAATGGGAACTTTTAATATTGTGTCGACTTGATACGCTTAGAACTTAAGAGTGCCCCTTGCGTCTGAGGTAGCAGGAAGAGATTTTATGTTGTCAGGCAAAGGCGGAGGAGCAGAAAATCTTGCCTTAGACTCCTGAATTTTTTTCTTTTCAAAGAATTCCTGAATGACCTTGAGGTAGCAGAAGTGGTGTTGGGTTCAGTAGTCCTTAAATTTAAATTAAATCACGGAGTCTGGGAGGTGACAAGATTCGTCTTTTTCTTCTCCTTCTCCTCCTCCTTCTCCACTTCATCCTCTTCCTCTCTTCTTCTTCTTTTTTTTATTTTTTATTTTTTTTATCTTCTTCTTTTTTATTCCAAGATAGAGTTTCTCTGTAGCTTTTGAAGCCTGTCCTGGAACTTAACTCTGTAGACCAGGCTGGTCTACGAACTCACAGAGATCCTCCTGCCTCTGCCTTCTAACGCCTTTAATTAAGGCGTGTGCCACCACCGCCTAGCTACTTTAAGATTCTTTAAGATAGGAAGTGCCAGGCTCTCTAGGGCCTGCTTTCCCAGTGACTTTATTTCTAGTGTATTTCTGGAGATCTGACTAAAGGAATGTGTAGAGAGTGGGGTTTGAGGAAGGAACCATCTGAACACTAGCTGTGCCAAAGGAAAGGAACAACCTTGTGAGACCCAGGAGAGATCAGGTGTCTTCGTATCATGGGGCTTGTGTTCCTTATAAGTTGCTGATGTGCTGTTTTAATCTCCACAGCAAGTACCAAAATGAACCTAAGAACAATGCCCCAGGTGATCAAACTATATATATATTTCACCATTTTATACCCTCTATTACATCTGCTTTGTTTTGCTCTGAGGTGTCATGAGATTTCTGGTTGTGACCCCCTTTACCGTCCCTTTTTTTCTCCCTTCTTACTCCCCACGATGCTGTAATTTCTACTCTGAAACTGGGGTAAAGATCCAGGAGAGTACTCTAGGCAGAAGGCTGGTTGGAGATGAGCCCTGGAACAGCCTTCTTGACACAGGAGTGTTATAGATTATGTGACAGATTCTTGAGACGGGGAAGATGAGGTGGGGACTTGTGGTGGTTTGGAAGGTTTGAAGGAAGTAGGAAAAAGATGGCTGGGGAAGAATGGTTAGGAGTGACCGAGTTTCGCAGAGTCCAGGGGTAACCGTAATACCCAACTCTCAAGAGTTTGCGAAACTTTGCTGTGTCTTCTACGCCATTCAGTAGAATCCACACACCTTCAGGAGTCGGAAGTCTAATCTGAATTCTCATGCCCCTGTGTGTGCTCTTGAGTATTGGCATAACATGTCAGCATATTTTGTGGCTTTCACGTGGGGGAAATACTTTGAATGTATCTTTGTTTTCGAACTGATTCTCTGATCTTCTTGGCAGTGAAGGTGAGAATAAGAAAGAACTGTCTAAAGTTCCAAATGTTGGTGTGCTCGTGATCAGGCTTGGGATAGGGGAAGCGTGTTCGTTTGTGTATGTGTGTGTATATGAATGCATGTGTGTGTGTGTGCACATGTGTGTGTTTATAGTGAATGTGTGTGTGTGCACATGCACTCATGTGTGTAACAGAGACAAGTGGGAAGGCTATAAAATCTTGGCTCCGTTTGGGTCAGTTTATTGCTTCACTTTTTCCCTTAAGTCCCTGTACCACGCACACAGACAACCAAAGAAGTGGTGTTTTAGGGGAGAGTTAGCTTAAGACTGGCTTTTCAAGTCCCCTGACAGGTGTGAACTCTGATGAATCCGTTCACAGATGGAGGAAGGGAAAGGACCGTTTTCTAGGTCGATGCGGTCAAGGGAGCGGAGCTAAAATTGCCCGCTCTAGGGTTAGCTCTGAGCTGCAGAGTGAGCTTCTCTCTCTTGCTCCGCCCACTGCTGAAGAGCTTGACCAATTTTCTACTTGTGAGGTCCGTCTCCATCACAAGAACCAGGAACCAGTGACAGCCTCTGTGGAAGATGCCTTCCAGTCAGGAATCACCCTGTTCGTTAACAGTTCTAGAAATACCACTTTATAGAAATGTTACTTCCTGTATAAAGTGTGTGCTGACCTTAGTTTAAATTCCATAACTGTGTGTTTAGGAACTGATAAAAAGGCCTGAAATGTGGAGGGCTGTAAATCAAAAGTCAAGGGAGGAAAGTGGACTAGTAATTTGAGGAAGTTTCAGTAGTGAAGAGTTGAAGTTGCCTGAAGTTTAACTTAATGGAGAAGGCACACCCCCTGGAAATGCTGTTAAACGTAGGGTCCCTGTACCGTGCTCAGCTCTCTTCATTAACAGAAAGGGTCAATGCACGGCAGTGGCGTGGGGTTCTCTGTGCAGGGTGGGGGCCTTGCTTTGCCCACTGCTTGATTTTGGGAAGTTACTCATTCTCTCTTTCTCTTGCTTTAGGGTTTGTTTGTTTGTTTGTTTTTATTTTTTGGGACAGGGTCTCTGTAGTCCTGGCTGTCCTGAAACTCACTCTGTAGTCCAGGCTGGCCTCAGACTCAGAGATCTGCCTGCCTCTGCCTCCTTAGTGTTGGAATCAAAGGTGCGCATCTCCACACACTGGGCTCTACTGTGCCTTCTAAAGTCCACATTTCCTCCTCTGTAAAATCAGAGTCACTGTATGCTACATGCTCAAAGACTATTGTAAAAATGTAATCTGTGGAACAGCCTGGCTCCCTTAGACATTTGACACACAGTGTCTCCTCTATTATGAAATACTTAATTGCAATTTTATGTTTTTGTTTTGAGAACTGCACTCTTAATCTTCAGGACTTCCTTAGCAAAGGGCACTAGGACGCTCTCTCTGGTCAAGTTTTGTATCCAGACAGTGATTAAAGTAG